AACACCAGAATGTTTCCTTCCTGCCTTCCTTACAGGATTAGCCTTGTAAAGTGGGAAAAACCAAAAGGAGATTCCTTCCAACATCCGGTTCTCTGAACTGCTTAGAAAGTTAACAACCGGTTCTCCCGACTAGGTGTGAACTGGCTGAATCCCACCATTGGTTTGACCTCTCCCTCAAGCTCAGTCTGGTCATCATCCAGAAGGCTTTTGGAAATATATTTAAAGATTATTCAGATTCAGAGCATTTTAATAGAATGATTTCTAGCTTTTGAATCTGGATCTTTGACCAGAGCAGCTTTTGTAATATCCCATGTAATTACTGAAATTTAGGACATATACTTTACAGTATAAGGACTACATGCTGGGGCAATTTTTATTACAACTTTCCTTGTCTCCTTTATTACAGGCATGTTGTTACAGGCTTGAACTATTATAAGAACTGTGAACTTGAATCCAGAGATCATCGAGTCACATTGCAGTCACTCTCTAGGCATAATAGAACCCACTTAAAACATTCAGGATATTTCATACAAAAGAATTATATTAGATATCATTTACCTCTAAAGATACAATAAAAAGACTCTCTGCTACATCCATCTCAGCTCACATAATGAGCTGAGTAGCAATCACAAGATGACAATTGTATGCATGTATAAATGGGGTTATCATGGGACAACCACCATCTTTCCTATTTTGCCTATCCGCCTCCAGTGGACATCACTGTAGAAAGTTTATAAAACACAACCTTACAATTTGGAAAAAGACAGAATAAAAGAACCCTGAAATAGTGCAGAAAAGTTGCCCTGCACTTTCCAGTATCAATTCTCCCTTGATTTGGTTTACAATTTCAGAGGAGAAATAAATTCCTGTGAATTTCTTTTGGAAGGGGTAAAGTGTTCTTGCCCTAATTTACTTAAGACATGGTCAAGTGTGGTATGTGGATGGCCGGTCTTTTGCTGTCAGCATTTCTGCAGAAGCCTGCAACCTCTCTGGTTTTCCCATCTTCTATTATCTGACTAGAAAATAAGCTCAAAATTTACACCAAGAGAAATTCTCAAGCATTCTTCTGGCTTTTAACACTTCATTCAAAACATGGTTTCTACAAGAATTTGTCAACCTACCTCTGTCCTCCTGTTTGCACTTCCTTCTTCATCCTTCTTTTCTTCAGGGATGGGAAGAAGTGGAAAACCTTGTTCGCTGTCCTCTTTTGAATGATGCTTCTGCAGCCGCCTTGCTTCATCTTCTGGAGAGCTATGGAGGTCACGTGTGTCGTGGGATTTGACAGCCATTTTCATGGATCTATCTGGATCTTCATCACTTTCATTCTCCTCTGCACGCTTTGTAGTAGTCAGTTGTTTGGCCAGTTCATCCATCTTGTTCCATCTCTTAGCATCTTCTACATCTTGGAAAGGTTTTTTTTCCATCTCTTCGCTTTTGGAATTGCTGTCAGGGGGGGAGTCATCATCCTGTCTTGTTCCATCTAGAAAATGATGCCCTGCACTTTTCACACTATGATACTTATCTGTATCTTCTGAGATATTTTTGTCATCATCTTGATTATCTATAAGGAAAATAGAATTAGATATAAATCATCTGTTTTCTTTTTTATTAAATAGCAATAGTTAGGCTTATATACCGCTTCATAGGGCTTTCAGCCCTCTCTAAGCGGTTTACAGAGTCAGCATATTGCCCCCAACAACAATCTGATAGATAGATAGATAGATAGATAGATAGATAGATAGATAGATAGATAGATAGATAGATAGA